TTGAGTAGCTTTAAATTTGTTTATTTTGTATGTATAACACTTAAGAAATTGAATAGTATATATATTTATTAGTAGCTTAAATATTTTTTAAAGACTTTGCGCGACCAATATATAGTATTTCGTCGCACAAAGTATACTCTAAAAATTTGGGCGGGTACCAAAAATGGGAATTTAAAAAAAAATTTTTTTTACGACTTTGCGCAATTAATATATAGTAGTTCGTCGCGCAAAATATACTCTAAAAATTTGGCGAGTACCAAAAATGGGATTTTTTTTTTTAAAAAAAATTACGACTTTGCGGGACCAACATATAGTCGTTCGTCGCGCAAAGTATACCCGAAAAATTTGGGCAGGTACCAAAAATGCGAAAAAATTTTTAATTTTTTTTTCCAACTTTGCGCGACCAATATATACTAGTTCGTCCCGCAAAGTATACTCTCAAAATTTGGGCTAGATGAGATTCTGTTTGTTGGGGTCTTAGCACTAATTTCCACTTTCTTTATTCGAATCTTCTGAAGTTTTGAATATGTTGATTTCCCAATTGGTTCACAGGTTTGGTATTTTGGAAACAACTTTGAGTCTTTTCTTATTGCTGCGGTGGTGCTTGACAGAGGCATTGGGGGACTTGGGACCAGAGCATGCTTCGACCTGTTATTATGTCTAAACCAAAAGCCAAGAAAAAAACATTTTTGATGAGCACAAAAGTAATGGTCAGAAACACCATACTCAATGCCCTTTTGCTAATTGCATGCTTGTTGATGGCTGATGTTTACTCCTCAGAATTCAGAAACACCATGGCTGATCTTCGAATTTTCTAGATGTAAAGGGTCTTCATTTGGAACCAAACGGTCCAAATCCCTTTGAGACGTTAAATTTCGAAACACATCAATAGCCGTGTCATCATCCTTGATAGTGCTCCCAGCTGGGGTGTTGCAACTTTGTGACTCGCATATGATTGGTTGGATGAACCTGTCTAATTGTCAGAGACTCCGTGACAATCTGGTCGGTGTGGCAAAGATGAAAAAATTGTATTGTGTGTCTGATTGTTCTGTCCTCTGTTTCTCTCCCAACAATCTGTGTTTGAGGTTGTGTTTCCAGGAAATGAGGTTCCAAAGTGGTTCAGCTATTGTAGGGATTTGAAGGAGCGTAGTGAATGTGAAGTTTCTGTTGAAATCCCTCCCAATTTCAAATGGTCAAAAACAGGGTTGGCTCTCTGTGCTGCTGTTGAAATTAAGCAAAACAGTTCTGGCAATTGTTGCTTGATAGCCAGAGTTTACATGGATGAAGAATGTTCCCATGAACATGCGGTTGAAATTAAGCAAAACAGTTCTGGCAATTGTTGCTTGATAGCCAGAGTTTACATGGATGAAGAATGTTCCCATGAACATGCGGTTGAAATTAAGCAAAACAGTTCTGGCAATTGTTGCTTGATAGCCAGAGTTTACATGGATGAAGAATGTTCCCATGAACATGCGGTTGAAATTAAGCAAAACAGTTCTGGCAATTGTTGCTTGATAGCCAGAGTTTACATGGATGAAGAATGTTCCCATGAACATGCGGTTGAAATTAAGCAAAACAGTTCTGGCAATTGTTGCTTGATAGCCAGAGTTTACATGGATGAAGAATGTTCCCATGAACATGCGGTTGAAATTAAGCAAAACAGTTCTGGCAATTGTTGCTTGATAGCCAGAGTTTACATGGATGAAGAATGTTCCCATGAACATGCGGTTGAAATTAAGCAAAACAGTTCTGGCAATTGTTGCTTGATAGCCAGAGTTTACATGGATGAAGAATGTTCTCATGAACATGTGGTTTATTTCGATTCGAAAGAGATGGAGTCAGCTCATCTGTGGCTGTATTATATCCCATTCCATACAATGATAGCCAAGACAAGAAGTGGCTTGCCACCTTATAAGTGCAAAGTTAGTTTTGACCTTACCATCAAAGGTTCAGTCTTTTTTGAAAGCTGCGGAGTCCACCTAGTGATCAAGGATGATTTGCCAGTGCCCAAAACAAAGTTTTTCCCTAATCATTGCCTTCAAATGTAATGCTGGGTAAAGTCGCATTTGATTCTCTCTCCTTGTTTTTTGTCTTCCTTCTAATTAAGTTGTATTTCTTTCTTTTGTTGTTGAAGAAATGAGTTGATGTTTATTACATAAGATAATAAGAAAGGTCCTTCAAGAATCATTGAACAAATACTGAGCTCTCTCTACATCAAAGAAAAATAAGTCTCTTCCACAAGGTTTCTGCTCACATTTTCATAAATACAAACTAGACTCGTAGGTAAACACAACGAAAATATGAATTTTGTTGGTGTCTACATGAATTAAATACAAAAAAGGAATTTAACACAATGTCCAAATCACAGAAGACTCCATGTGATGGCAAGAATGGTTGTAAAGTCTATAGGATGTCAAGCACCAATGCCCAAACAGGGTAGACGAACAGAATAACTATGCCAACGGTATTCGATACGCCATTGGCTTTTGTGAAAGCATTTCTGAACCCACCGGCTGCCCGGATGTGTTCTTGCAGCAAATAACCAGCGATGACGAGACATATTACAACGCCAATCCAGTCGCCCCTCGCGGTGTTTGCAATTAAACTAGGAGCAACGACTATAAGAAGAATCAATGCAGCCGGCAATTCAAGCCACTCTGGAGGTTACCATCATAACCAGTAAGCACAAACAGAAAACAAAGGATCAATTTCTAGGTAACATAATATGAATCAACTTCCCAAGCTAACATAAACATTATAACTCAGCACTGGGAATCAAATTTGCATTTTACCTGGGAAATGTTTAGGAAAGAAAATCCGTAAGATGACAGCAACTAAAGCAATCCATCTTCCAATCTGTCCCCTGTGCAAATAACCATTTAGACGAGTTTAGAGGGAGAGAAAAGAATGAACAGATAATAGGAAATATGCAACTGATAATACACACAGTATAGAAAATAACCTGAAGAAGTTGAACAATATTGAAGGAAGGGTAAAGAAAATGTAGGGGATTAAGAGCCCTGTAAGGATGTTTGATTTCCAGTTTGTTCGATCCAAGACCAACAGATAGCTGCAGTAAGCACAGATAGAAATAGGTAAGTTCGTGCATATTTTCTCAAATCAAATCACTTTACATCAGAAAAAAGGTGATAAATTGACAATCTGTGCCACTGTCAATGACTGTGCACTCACTCAGAAGTCTTATATATTCGCAATGATATTACTAACACCATTAAAACCACTCAAAAAGTTTGCATCACAAATCTCTAAAAGAAATAACTGACAAAAAAAATTCCACTTTTACCATCCATCAAACATACAAATGAAAAATCTTAGTTACAGAGCAATCCCAATCAAAACTTTGAAAAACCAACGTAGAAATAAGCACAGATTTTCAGTACAGAACAGATTGTGTATTTTGTAAGACAGAGAGAGTCACATAAGAGCACCTCCACCGCTCAACACTAACCCGGGCAACAGCCCCAAAAAGCCCAGGTTGGGCCCTCCAGCGCGCAGTCTCAACCCCGGGCAAGCCCTGGGGCCCACCAGCCCTGGCAAGCCCAAGGGCAATTCTTGACTGGGTTCTAGCCTGAAGTGGCTGACGTCATGCGTGATGTCACGCTGATGTCAGCGAGTCGAATTTTTTTTAATAAAAAAACAAAAAAATTCTGGATTTTTTCCCTATAAATACATAACCATTTTATTCACTTTTCATACCAAATTTGATGGACACATGGCAACCGAAAATCTTATTCGAAAATTTTATTCAAAAATTTTATTCGAAAATGTTATTTGAAATTTTAGGTGAGAATTTTATAATAAATAGTGATACAAAGCAACCGAAAATATTATCTGAAAAACTTATCAAAATTAATGGTTAAGTATAAAAAATTATATAAAATAAAGTAAAGTAATTAGTATTTGCCCTTGCCCTTGCCCTTGCTCTTACCCTTGCGGCTATGACCTTGGATTATTTCTTAAAAGAAATGAATTTCTATTGCTAATGATCAAGTGCTATGCCATAAACGGTCTCCTTCATTATATATAAATCTCTCTCTTTCTCTCTCTCTCTCTCTCTCTCTCTCTCTCTCTCAAATAGTAAAAGCTGACTTCGTCAAGTGAATGTTAAGTTTATATTTTTTGGAATATCATCTGCAGGACCGAATTGATAAACTGTACAGTGAAGCAAAGGAAGCACGGGTATGACAGCAATGTCGAAAGCTGGAAGCTACTGGAGAAAACCTTTTTACCACAATTTCCCAAATATGTGATTGCTGATAGTGGGCAGGTGCTACCCACAAAGACTCTGGATTCGGATCCCTGTGAGTCCGTCCAAGTTAGTTTGTGTATAAATAAAGATAATATGAAAAGTTTGAGAAACCATATATATATTGGTCCCAATGTCACTTATTTGTGCTTGCACTGTTGAAAAATAATGTCCATTTGTGTTCTACACAGTTCTAGAAGAATCAGGAATACAAGGATGAATATTCTAGAGTTGTGGAGAACATACTATGTTGGCTAGACAAAGAGAATTGAAGTTGGAAGAACTTTCTAGAACAAGAACACTCATGGAGCATGAGGGCTAAACAATAGCCACAAAAGTAAATATTGTAGAATATAGAAGTTTCTAGTAAAAGCCACATACTTGGCGATGTAGGCAAAGATGCCTATAAATAGGCATCCAACCACAATGAAATGTGGAGTGAACCAATCAACTCCCAATCTATGTGGGAGTCATCCACCAACTCCCAATCTATGAGGAGTCCAATGAAAAGAACTCCCAAACTATAAGAGAGCCAAGAGCTACCCAAAGGAAGCGTCGGAGCGGGACTTCGTTGGCAAAAAGAACCAATATTGATTGTTCCCATTATTTTTTTGTTTGTTCTCTTTCTTTCATCGAAGACTATATACATGATCAATAGAACCTGGCTGGATCCGGCTGGGATAGTGGCGCCCATTCCTAACCAGAAGAACGCAGGCAACGGAAATGCAAAAGAGAAGCCAGCCTTGCAGCGGCAAAAGGATTAGATGTCCCGTGGAATCGAGAACAGGAGAAAGCAGAATGGAAAGGAATGCTTATCGATCTTGAAGTCACAAGATAGACCGAGTCAGAGCCGTGAACACAAACTTGACCCTCGAATTTTTTTCGTATCAAGAGTGTGTTGGGGAGGCCGAGGGTCCGGTAGAAAAGTATGTAACTGGTACCAACTTTACGCCTTTCTGATCTCATCCGTATTCCGATCGAAAGAAGGCGATTGGAATGAGGGTGCGCTCGAATGAAAGCTCTAGGTCATCCAAAAATGCCGGGAAAGCTTGCGCAAAGCGGATTCCAACAACTTCCGTCTCTGATAGAGTTTATTGGGCGCGTGAGAGTTGGAGAATTCCTGAATCTTATTAGCATGGTACGGCCTATACATGATTGGGCCATGACGGTTTTGGCTGATCAAGTTAGTGAAGTTATTTCAGACCAGAATCAATTTCCGAGCAATTGGAAGCCGCTTTCAATGACAAGGCCGATAAATTGATATTACGTGATCGTTACTGTCCATCTTTATCAGCTTACTGTCCATCTTTCACGTGGCGGTGAAGAAAGAACAGGCGGCGGCTATGTTGAGAGCCAATAAGCTCACCAATCAAAGTGTAAGGGCCAAATAGCCCAAACTAATCTAAATCAAGTGTGGTGGCCAATAAGCCAATATGCTAAGGAGACCAATTAGCCTACACCAAGCTATGTACTATTCTCCTCCAAATCTAATAAAATCACTTTGTTTCCCCTACAATCTAACATGCACATACACACAGAATTGCTATATTCATTCACTCTCAGTATGAATGTCAGACATCATATTTGACATGAAATGATTTGCTGCCCAAACCATTTGTATGGAAGTTAAAGACGACAAAGAATTAATGGCTACTTTACTTCTGATCTCTCGGGTACCAATTGCTTGGATCTACATTGCTATAACCCCAAAATCAATGATTAACTGATTCTCAATAGATCTTGGTCTATGCAATGTAAAATAATCTTTGTGGATTTCTTAGTTGTCTTTATCACCAACAAATCCACCCAAAAAGAAAAAGAAAAAGTTGCCAACAGTGTCTCAGGTTCGAACTCCTGTGATACCTTGCTAGTGTGTGAGCAAAAACTCCGCTCCCTTGTAGTTTAGGGGGGTGTATTCAATTAGAATTTTAATAGATTATAATCACATGATTTTAATGTAATAGATTTCAACGGGATTTGTAATTACAAGATTTTACTTATGATTTTAATAGATTGTAATTACATGATTCTCTTATGATTCACTTAGGACTTTTTTGTATTAAGAATCAAAAGATTTGCTCTAGGATTTCATACGAAATAAAAATTATATAATAACATGAATTAATTATGTCACATGGATAAATTACCAAATGATAAAAGTAATAACAATAACGTCATGTAGCAACTAAACTTTCATTAATGAATTATTTTTCATGTTCTATGACCTTTCATAAATAAACTTCCTTGTTGTGTAGTCTCGGCTCGGTGGTTCTATGACCTCTCTTTGGTCTTTATTAATGAAAGTTCATCTTTACCAAAAATTAAAATAATAATAAAAGAGATCATAGCACAGTGGTTCTTTTCTCTCAAGCCGAGACTAGAAGACCCAAACACAAAATAAAGCATCCTAATGCAAGGAAATTTCCTATTAGTATTATATAAAAAGAAAGATAAGAAAGACTAGTTTATAGTAGAATTAAAAGACAACACTGCAAATTCAAATACAAATACAAAGCTATAAACTATAGTGGATGTAGCCCCATTAGGGGTGAACCACTCAAACACTTGTGTTATGTGTGTGATTATGTCTTAGTCCGTTAGGACAACACTGAAACACGCCGACTACTACGCGTATGAGCTTTTGTCGTTTTGGATTTTTCCACTACCCATAATTGGACTGGAAAATACGTTTGAAGTTTCAACGAAAGAACACTGGCCCTTCCTCTTTCTTTGTTTCCTTTCCTTTCCTTGTCTTCCCTTCACCTTCATCGACTACGCTGTGTTCTCACAAAGGAAGTTGAAGCTCGCAGCTAACTTCCCCGCAGCTTCCCTCGCTCATAAGATGCTTTCTTATTAAAAAAAAAAAAGAAACCCAGAGGCCATGCCCATCCCAGTTCTTTGATCAGCCTGTTTACTTCTACGGCACGCAATCAACGACAGTCATTCAATGACATACGACGTCTTCCTGAGTTTCAGAGGCGAGGACACGCGATTCAACTTTACTGATCATCTGCACAGTAATTTGACTCGGAAGGGAATTAGAACCTTCATAGATGATGGTCTTAAGAGAGGGGAAGAAATATCACCGGCCCTTCTCAGAGCGATCGAAGAGTCGAAGATTTCCATCATCGTGTTCTCCGAAAACTATGCATCTTCGAAGTGGTGCTTGGATGAACTCGTCAAGATCCTTGAGAGTAAAGAAACAAGGGAGCAAATAGTTTGGCCTGTTTTTTACAAGGTGAATCCATCGGATGTACGGCATCAAAGGGGCAGTTTCGGTCAGGCACTTGCTGACTATGAATACGAGTTCAAAGATGACATGGAGAAGGTGCAAAGATGGAGGAGAAGTCTTACGAAAGCAGCCAATCTGTCCGGATGGTGTTTCGTCAATGGGTATATATTTATTTTCAACCACGCACCTTAGCTGCTTACTAAACTTGTTTATTTCTGATCTTTTAATAGAAATTGAAACTGTTAGAATAGGATCAGGACCGATATACAAAGGCATTGTTTTTAATGTCAAATGCTTTTGAACATCCAAGGTTTAAAGATGTGGCTTTTGTGTGTCCTTTGAACCTGATCCTTATACATACAAACGGTCTAGTTTTTCGATCCCCAAATTAAGAATTATCCCTTCAAAAAATTAGCAAAATCCGAAATCATACCATTTGATTATCACCATGAACATCTTGTAGAGGAAAAGTTGTATTAATCTATTTGTTGCCGCATTTTTGGATGACTAAATATTTCGGATTTTGGTAATTTTTTGATGAACTGATTTTTTTAATTTTTTATAAGAGTGATCCTTGAATAATGTCCTTGAAAATAAACGGTTCATGTTATTCGAACCAGTGATCCATTTTTGTAAATAGCCAAAAGGGGATTCCTTTTAGAAGGGAGTTGTACACACACACACATAAGTTTTACGAAATTATCACATTTCTTTCCTAATGTTTTTTTGTGACACTCTCCACACATCAAAATGGTCCCTACCGTTAGCTTCCATCAAATTTTCTGTTAAATTGTTAATGTAGCACATGTGTGGAGCCCACACATCCAATGGTATAGAGCCACGTAGTTTTAAATGAAATAGAATATATTTTTAAAACTTAAAATTCATAAAAATTAAAAATTAAAAGCAACTTAAATCTTTTAATATATTTTTAAATATATTTCATGCTCTGTTTTGAGAGAGAGAGAGAGAGAGAGAGAGAGAGAGAGAAGTGGGTATGCTAGAAGGGGGAGGGAAAGTTAACACAGGGAGAGGGAGAGAGAAAGCGAAGGGAGGAAGAGGAGGGAGAGAGGAGTGGGTTTGCAAGGGGGAAAGGGAAAGAGAACACAAGGAGAGGGAGAGACAGAAAGATATTTAAAAATATATTAAAAAGATGTACCATTGGATGTGTGGGTTCCACATATGTGTCACGTCATCAATGTAACAAAAAATTTGATGGAAGCTACTGACAGGGACCATTTTGATGGGTGGAAGCTAACCTTAAGGACCATTAGTGTAAAAAAAATGTTAGGGACGAAATTTGATAATTTCACAAACCTCAGGGACCATTTGTGATAAAAAGCATATATATATATAATATTACAAAATGTTATTCATCATTAATCTTTCGCATATTGTATAACCTTGCAGGCATGAATCAAAATTTATTGACGACATCGTTGAAGCGATTTCATTACAAGTATTAAACCATGTGTATTTGAATGTAGCAAAGTACCCAGTTGGAATAGAGTCTCGTGTGCGCGAGATAGACAAGCTATTGGGCGTTGGAGGAAACGATGTTCGCATGGTAGGGATATGGGGCACTGGTGGAATAGGTAAGACAACAATTGCTAAAGCTGTTTATAATTCCATCGCCCATATGTTTGAAGGTAGCTGTTTTCTAGATGATGTTAGAGAAAGATCAATGCCGTATGGAGGCTTAGTCAAACTACAAAGTATTCTTCTTTATGAGATTCTAGGGGTGAAAGAAGTAAAGGTGACCAATGTTGACAAGGGAATCAATGTGATAAAGAAAATGTTGAATGGTAAGAAGCTTCTCTTAATTCTTGACGATGTGAATCATTTGGACCAATTAAACAAATTAGTTGGAGGGTCTGATTGGTTTGGTTCAGGCAGCAGAATTGTTCTAACGACAAGAGATAAGCATTTGCTAATTGCTCATCAAGTCAATCTAATATATGAGGTTGAGAAGTTAGATCATTATGAGTCCTTAAAGCTCTTCACTAGTTGGAATTCTTTTTCAAGAAATGGACACTTAGAAGATGACTATGCGAAACTTGCAAACAATGTAGTAGACTATGCTGACGGTCTTCCATTAGCTCTGATGGTTTTGGGTTCACATCTCTGTGGTAGAAGTATAGATCAATGGAAATATGCATTAGATGGTTACAGAAGAGTTCCTAACCGAGAGATTCAAGAAATTCTCAAAATAAGTTATAATGCACTAGAAGATGCGGTGAAGGAAGTTTTCCTTGATATTGCATTTTTCTATAAAGGTCTAGGCGAGGATTATGTGATACAAATACTAGAAGGTTGTGACCTCAACCCTAAGTATGATCTTGAAGTACTCGTGGAAAAGGCTCTTATAAATATTACGGAAGAAGGCTGCATTTGGATGCATGACTTGATACAAGAAATGGGTAAAGAAGTAGTTCGCCAAGAGTCACCAACTGAGCCTGGAAAACGTAGTAGGTTGTGGTTTCACGAGGATGTTTACCATGTTTTAACAGAAAACACAGTAAGTAGAATATATAATTTAAAAAAATTTATTTTTATTTCACAAAAAAATTGTCCTTTGCTAATAGTATTGCTTTTTCATACTAGGGAACGGATAAGATCAAAGGTATTATGGTGAAGTTGCCTGCTGGGCTTGAGTCAGATGAGGTATGTTTGAATGCTGAAAGCTTCTCAAAGATGAAAAATCTTCGACTTTTTATAAATCATAATGCGC